GAAGCCTTGCAGTTAGTGACACAATAACCCCGAGAGGAAAGTGTTTATTTGGAGCGCCGAGGCAACAGTGTTGGGAAATTATGGCTAGAAAAATGGACTGCACAAACGCTAATAATAAATAACACCGAATGATAATAAAGCCGTCGCTATTTGTCGCACCGCTTACCCTCAGCAGCTCCGAAAAGACCAGCTTTGACTAAATTTAGCTACCCAAACTCTTGACACAATATTGTCTTATGCCACAATGGTTCGGTTATCGTAAGCGTGTTGATTACCTACGAAGGTATTTTACTTAGCAGTTTGGTAAAAAGAAGTGTTTCGGTGTGTAGGTTGTCAAAAATCAAAGGTCAACTGTGACGCAGAATGGATACCCCGAGAAAGATAGGAACGAAGATCAAATTCTATTTCGTTGTGAAAAATCTAGAGAGGTCTGGAAATGCACGATAGTTGAATTATCTAGGATGGCATGCAAAGTTGCAACGTGATGAAGTTAAAAGTGTAAAAGACACATGGACCACTTGTGGAGTCGTCGTTGGAGAAGAGACCACCATTGAGGTGAAGAGGCACATCTTTTCTCCTGCGTAACACGAGTGTCCAGGTGATAGTTCATCATGTCTGAGTTCTTTTCCTATTCGCTAACTTTCACACGAACAGAATGTAAGTAGTAGCTAGTTCGAGTGGGCACATACAACCGCTGAAAAAAAAGACTGAGCAGTCACGAGACTCAAAGTTGCCCTTTAGGTAACGAAATAGAGACCGATCTCCCGGGGCAAAAGTAATTTGATGCTACTGAACTTGAGGCCACATGCTTTGGGATAAAATGACGTTACACCCAGGCTAAAGACACTCCAGATCAGCCGTCCGTTGTAGGATTTTTAAACCTACTTTTCAGGCGAGAGGAGGCTGGTGAACAATTAGTTCGTCACATGGTTTTCTGAGGTCAAAGAAACCAGCAGACCAAAGCAATGCCGTGCGTCTCATACCCACATTCGTGTGAAATTCGGTCACATAGCCGTCCCGTTAGCTAACCACTGTACAACTAGGCAGGCCACATAAGATAAACCAGGGTTGCTGTGGACAGGTTATTTTAGAAACAAACAGGCTTCTAGTTAAGTAGCATGAGTTGTGTGTGTGTGTGTGACACCACTAGCAGTGACGAAACGGCGAATCTGTGCTCGGCGCCTGCTGAGACCGAGACATCATTCAATCCGTCGACAGCAGTGCTTGAATCGTTTTTTTGAGCGCAAAACCATAGCGAATCAAAATGAAAACTGCGCTTTGTGAATTATCATCACGTGCAATCTGCCCCACTTTTATTTAATGGCAAAGCCCTCAGAGGCTGTCGCTGACTGGTAACAGCTATTGTTGTGAAACTTTTTGATTGGAGTCCATGATCTCTGTTGACGCATGTTTAGACACCTTGGTAATTCAACCTTTCTGATAATTAACATGTCGTTTTAGTTCGTTTTCATGGCGTCCCCGCGTTGGGACTTCTTTATTAGCATCGCCACCTGGTATTGAGATGCACAAATTAGCGTTTATGACAACCCTCTCAAAAGTTGGCTGATAAAAAGGACATTAAATTATAAGTTTTATGGTTGTTTTGGACACAGCCAGAGCTGACTCGTTCCTCATCCCATTTCACTCAACATGAGCCATTGGTATTGATTGGCACGAGATCCGACTTGATTGGTGCGTCGGCAGCGTCCGCATTTGCGTGAACTCGTCCCCAAACCCCACACATTCCGCCACCTAGGCGTAATCATCAGATGTAGATTAGCACAACAAACTCGAAAGTGCAGACCCAAACGAAGCACACACAAGACAGCATTTAAGTGCTCTTCTCTTTTCGAGCGCATCTTGGCGACGCGTGGTGGTGCGCGCGATCGGCATGCTGCTCAAAAGGTTGGATTATCGACTAATTTTGTTCGTTGCTAGAGGAGAGATTTGCTTAGACAATTAAGAATTGTTGCAGAGTTACCATGGACAATAACCTGCACATTTTAAGACCTTTTTTTCCTTATATTTACACCCCCTCACAACCCAAGGACCCCAGGCCACCACGCTATTGACAGCTGAACAGATCTACCACGTACACATCGTGGGAGATCTTACTTTTGCCCACCAGAACCAACACAAGGTTTTTTTCAGTTAAAGGCAGGCAATTAATCTGTGGTTAATATAGGCAGAAAGTTCCATACAAAGTTACAAAAAATTTTTATACGTGCGCGCATCCATCACTGGATTGTAATGAATGGCACACTCAAGATTGCGCCTCTGCATGACTATTTGACGTAATCGCCTACAAGACTTTCTCGCGAACAGTTAATACTTCATTTCGGTGTCTTAGAATAAAGTGCTGTATCCGCCTCATTAATATCGCCTCAACAGGCCTTAAACCAACTGCTTCTGACTGCCATTTGTCCTGTACGCCTAAGTTTTTAAATACCACAAGTCCCGCCGCTTTGTATCCTTGACATAGTTCATTTGACGGTAGCTCGAAAGCGCCTTGCAGCACTCACAACCTACCGAAGCACAATCTTACATATTCTCAACGTGTGTCTATTCACAGATAATCATTGGCCAGTCTACTGATTTTCCTTACGGCACTTCAGGCCATTCAAAATGTCTCATTCCAATTTCCAAGTTTATGGCTGTTCTAACCGGGTGCAAGTCGTTGCAAAGCGTGCAGTCGCCACGAGCACATCCAGGCCAATCACCTCAAGGGCCCGCACGGCTTTCAGTAGGGACTTAGGTCTCTCGTAACCCGCGATCCGATGCACACGTGAAACCACAGAGGCTAGCTGCGTCGAGAGTTGGTTGGGTGCCTTGGCGTGCATCAACAATTTGACCAATTGTTTACTAACTACCCTGACATCTGACAGATGACGACGACGACGACGACGACAAAGTGACGCGTGGCAGTGCCAAACAAATTGTCTCACCTTCATCGTCTCCACCGGGCGCAGACTTGTAGCGATGCTTTATCATTATGCGTTTTAGCGTGCGCGGTATTCGCGGGCCTGCACAAAAAACAAACAACAACAATAACTAACGGTCACATTGGCAAAATACAACACGTGGCTGTCTCGAAAACCAAAGAATGAAGGAAATCGGGTGTTCAGCACGATGATGGGAGGCAGCCAAGAGCTCTCTGCACCTACTTTTGCCAGAAGCTAAGGTCACAACTTATCATCTGAAAAGCCGTAGCGACAGCAGCTTAATGCTAACAAAGATTTCTAGGCAATCCAGCGTGCTGATCTTATCTGGAACTGCTTTATAACCATCTGTGCTTAAGCATGAACCTATTGCACAGAATCGCCCGATTGTTTTTCCCATTTTAGGTTCAAGTGGAAGTCACCAAGCAGGCAAAAAATTACCTAGCAGATATAATAGACCCACTCGTGCCGAATAAATAGCATGCACTGCAACGAAATTGACATGTTCCATTCTGTCGATAAAATGTAATACACCCAAATGTAAACCATAAAATACCCATGATTTAGTAGCCGTTCATGAAAGAAGTATTGGCATAAACTCACTAAGTGGTTAAACTTATCAAGAAAGAGTGATTTGACACTGCTACTGCTACCAGTGATATTGTGGCAACTCGTTAACAATATATAACCTTATAACACATACTGTTTTATCCTTCCAATAAGTTGAGTGATTGTAAATCCAGAACTAATAAAGCAAACGGCAGAACTCAACGCGGCAGAACGGCTGAAACTAACACATTTGAAAAATGAGCCTATCAGGGGACTCAAATAGTTGAGGCTCTGCTCAGTGACAGTTTTTATTGGAGCAGCATAGAAGCATTGGATCGCTAATACGCAAATCAAAACGCAGATTTTCTTTTAAATACTTTCAAGGTCACACAGTGATAGGTCAGAAAACAGCAGCACGCATTTCGATTTCAGGGCCTTGCATTGACGCATTATACACTTGCGGTGCAAGAATTGCTACAATTTGTGCACTTTTTTCTAAACCAAAAAGCAAGAAAATGCAAATTTAACTATCACTGCAATTTCCACCTACATTTACCAAGGGTGAACAACATCGTTAAGTGCTATGCAAGTTTCCAGCCATTTGTTAAGTAACCTCCACAGTTGTACGTTGGTGGTAGGGGGCCAGTTTTATGGGGTAAACGAAGAATGCTATATGACAAACTCAAATACTCTAAGATTGACGAAAATCACAGTGATTTGCCATTTTAATGCCTTGCATGTGAAACACAAGCGGTGGATTATGGCGTTGTAAAGCGAAAACGAACGATATGATCGTGGTTAGTCGTTAATCACAACCACGGTAGCAGAATGCGTGACATTACATACACGGGAACACACGCAGCGCCAACGAAGCTAACTTTTAGAGGGAAGGCATCAACGCACGTCGCAAGCCAAGTTACCTCGAAATCAAGAAACACAAGAAGACTGCTTTATGACAGCTTAAACAACCAATTGCACAACTGCCTGCCTGTTAGTACACTTCAAAACACTTTCCCCAGAGGTGCGAAATTCAAGTCAAATAGGCTTATTTGACCTGAATTTGTTTGTATGCAGCCTAACGTGGCATCACTAGGCTTAAAAACCAGTCTGCAGCGACTGGGTTTCAACACCAAGTTAACACTACTGGCAATAAACACAACCGCTGAGCGATTCAACACCTATCCCTTCGAAATTGCCGACGTCCACACCACGGGACACGACTAGGAGAGAGCTTATGAACGAATGGGCCACGCCTGAAGAAAAGGCACCTACGGCCAAACTACCATTTAAAGCTCAAATGCATTAAATACTACGCTATACATATGCCGAAAAGCACTGTCTGGCACGGATCCAAGAATCACTCAGACAACGATATCCAATCATGCACACGATCGGACCCGACCGACATAGTACGCTGATAAGAAGGGCTAACAGACTGCTACGACACTGAATCCACAAACACAACGAAGAGTTGTCATAATGCGGCTTTATTTACACACAGAAGACAAGAGCCTAACTATCGGCCACGTCTTGTGAAAATATTCGTTCAATGGGGGTGCACTTCCACGCATTGAGGGACGAGTAGCAGCCGGTCTCGGGGCAAGGCAGGTACACCAACGGCTCATGAAGCCTTCCTGCACTTGTCCTCCAATCGCCAACGGTGTCGACAGCTTTCCTTAGGCCCACTGATTGTGTCAGTCCATGCAGGGCCGGCGAATACTACAAAACGGGATAAGGATTAATTTGAAGCAGTGCCTGTTGGCGGTTTGCAACATCCAGCGGCTTACCAGATTTGGTGGCGAGCAGCAAGCGAGCAGTTAGTAACCGTGAGCAAACATGACTTAATTGGCTTACTTGAACGCACCTCACGTAACTGGTTTCGTTCAAAGATCGATGCTTAGCCGAACTTATGTAAATCGACCTTTCACGTTGTACACACACACACACAAATCTCTACTGCATCAATAAATAAGTTGAGTTACGCGCTGTCTGCATTTCTGCCCTTCTTTAGGTCGAGCCGTGTCAATGTAGATTGTCGGCCCTGGTGTGGTCATCTAACCGCACCGGGGTCCGCAACAATTTCAATGAATGGGAGTTTACTGTCAGTAGTAAACTAGGCCTCAAAGAAAGTGCAGATCACGACCAAGTTGTGTTACAACCCTCCTTCCTTTCACCAGTTACCTTTCGATGAGCCATTCACATTACTTTTTTTCGACTAAACTTCTGCCGAAAACATTGACACTTCTTTCAAACTGGTTGGGGTCTCGTCAAAACGCCACGACCAAAAAAATATCACTAGGCCAATAAACAAAAACAAATCGAGAATCAATTCGCATCGGTGGCATGGATTCACAAAATTTTCCCTTAATACCTTCTTCCAAAAATTCATGGTTCAAAATGCAGAGAATATCGGAGAATAGAGAGAAAACGAGGCATTCCGGAACCCACTTCACCCGACACATTGAGAGGAAATTAATAAATGCACATGATTGTGTCATGCGCATGATTCAGTGGGGCAATTAGACAATAGGTAATCACTGCGTGGAGAATGACATTTGAAAACAACGTTACAATGTCCATCTCCTGATTGGTTTCTCAACCTCCGGCCATCGCTGGCACTTTTTGTGCGAAATACTTTTAGGGCACTGCATATCCTTTATTAGCTGAGCATGCCTAGGTTCACAAGAGCTGCATTGAAAGCATTTATGGTAAAAACAATGGTTATCACGTGGGTGCATTGCATACCACCGAATGGCAGACGTGATAAAGTCAAATGAATGCATGAACTAATTAGCTACTTAAGGCGGGAAAACAAATGAAGCGGCGTAAACCAAACGCATTAGACAGCCAGTCAAACTGATAAGTGGATAAAAATTGTACTAGTCGTCACGACTGTAAACAAACGACATGCGATTGCGCGCGTACACGCAAGCACCGCAACTGTGACGCGTGATTTATCGGGCTAGCGTGACACTTGCCACGGACCGAGAAGCAAATGTGCATTTCACGGACAGATTACCAAAATGGGCATTGCGTGTTCAACGTGTGGTGCCCTGTCAGACCGCAACGAAACCAACCAACCGCAGAGCAGATTAGCAATGGCCACGAAACGGAGGAACGGTTTTGAGTTTTAAATCCACAGCACAAGACAGATTGACCGGTACCACGTCTACCATGCACAAACTAGCGGTACTCAATGAGAAAAATGAAAATCGCATTGGATTTTGCGTTTCACAAAAATTAGGTGCAAAACGCCCCAAGTGTTGCATACCGCCTAGAGGGAAATTTGTGGCAGATTAAAGAGCTTGTGGTTCATGACCTTTAGCATCACAAAGGAAGAGGCTGAAGGGATCACACGAACACAAACGGGTCGAACGTGTAAGAACCAAGCCATGAGGTACTTTCGTGAGACCTAGGATGAACTCGGATCACGCATTTGCGGACACGCAATTGCATGGCAAAGGAAGTTTCGCTTTGCATATATTTTTTTCCTGACAAACTTCAATTTGCATGAAAAACTTCCGTTTGTCACATCGCCAAATTGACGTCACTTCAGGTTGGATGCAGGAGGCACGGCATTGAAGCGCACAGCTGACATCCACATCGAGCGACCAGGTGAGATTAAAAGAACTGACGGCATCACACAGGCAGGGTGGTGTGTGATGCGACTATGACACAGAAAACAAGGTTACCGCCATCAACTAACTGTTACCATGGTGAGGAGAAGCGGACGAAGTGTAAACACATCACATTTAACCAATTACCAGAATACCGGAAGGATTACTTGTTGGCCAAGAGTCTGTCGATGGTGTTGGAAGACCGCTCGCCATGTTCAGGACATGAGAGCAAGACCTCATTACCATTTTTGAGCAAGTATCCCAAAAACGTCACCATACCTGTATGCAGATTTAAGCATTGTAAGAGTTTTGGATTTTGGAAGTCCTCTGAGCGCGGCGATCTTTGAGGTTGCATAAAAACAGCCCCAAATGGCGTGAGATTTGCCGGTGCTGCCAATTGTGTTTTCCAAACAACGACTGAACAACCTTGTCACACTCCAAGACAACACTACCACGCATAAGTTGACATACGCAAGTAGTAAACAAACAAACCAGTGTTTAGGCAACTTCCGAATTGCGGACATTAGGAGTGTGGTCTGTGCAAACACCACCACCGAATAGCCCGAAGGTTTAAAAACAACGTTCACAAAAGCGAGAGAGCAAATTGGCATTTCGATTCAAGAGTAACTATTCAGAGAATCCTTGCCAACAATCGGTTGACTGAAAGTTAATTCCAGATTTTGCGATTTGCTTGACTATATATATATCCGTTTTTTTACAATTTTTACGACAATACAGAGAACATGTCCGTCAAAAATCCATTCACATAGAAGCAAGTTTGTCCATTTTTTTTAAAAACGGAATTTTTTCTTTGTCTACAGTGTATGCTCAGGCATGAGTAGTCCCTTTGCAAGTAAATAAGTTAGGCGATATTTCTAATTATTGGCCCAGTAATTTCAATTTAACTTTAAGCGCCAATCAGGACTGGCGCAGCAGACAACAAGGCCGCTTGAGTGCCGAAAGGCCTTTAAAGTTAAAAGGGATTCATCATTAAGATTGTCAGCTCCGTGAAGCCATCAACTAAATGCCAGCTCAACAAACTTACTAATGACTGCATGACAATCACACGGATTCTCTTTTCCGAAACTGTTCGGGTAATACGACACTGAAGTGTGGTGAAGAGTGTTTCGATATCATACAACGAGGTTCAAGTTTCATGAGGAAAGTGAAATTTTATTACCAAACCAGCATGCGAGCGTAATTGGCAAAAAAAGCTTCTTTTGAAACTACTTCAAGGCAGTTCCCAGAGGCCACATTTTCTACACAAACATCCTAGACACAAAGTTGTAAATTGTTGAGAGCGAACGGCATGGGGATATAAGTAGTTAATTGAATTATGCTTAACTGAGAGGGGGAAATCGCTGTGAACCATGAACAGCAAGGCAACAACGACAAAGTGATTAATCTTAAAAGTGGTGTGTTCGCATTCGAACGAACCGCCGGGACCCTTCGACAACCGCGTGTTCTCATGACATGGAACTTGTTGCATTGGGGACACATATCCTTAAAGCAATTTTGACTACCACAGGCGGTAATTTTTAAAAAATGTAAAACCAGAGTCCCGCCTAACAGATCTGCGATCATTGATAAACTAGTGATGATGTCATCATTCTTGAATTGGGAAAATGAATGCGACTAGGACAACATGAGGAACCTGTTGATGCAAGCAGAATTCACCTAAAGGAAGCTGAAATCATTCAAATGACGGGAAGAGTAGGTAGATAAATATAAAAAAAGTCGACACCTTTTAGAAAAAAAACGACTCAAGAAGTAGAATCAACGACTGAGGCCCCAATGACGATTTTCTGGAATCGTCAGAGGACGGTTTACAAATAACTGCCACGGACACCACAGAGGCAGTGAATATGAGCCAAAATTACCACCAAGATCTTGGGTAACAAGGTGAAATGGCTCACCCACTGGTTACTTCACAGGTGGTTAGTACCTAGTCGCACGGGTCTAACAACAGGCCACGACACGAGACAAGGCGAAGTGCGGAAAACCAATGTGAAAGCGAGTTATTTGTGATTGGGAAGAGGGGAGAAAACTAACGCGGTTTCTCGCGAGGCTTTGCAAACAGGCTGCAGCCCAGATCCACCTATTAGTGGCTGAGGCGTCAGCTGATTCACTCTCAACCAGGTCACATAGGTCCGTGGTAAGCGTTGCGAAGAGATCTCCCGTGTTGCACAGCGACGAGTTGGTTCCCAGTTGACACAACGATGCTCTACAAAAGGAAAAAAAGCCTCAAAAATGTATCTTACGGATTGTCTTGAAAGTAGGCATTGTTGCGACGAAAAATGTCTACCGAAGTCGTTAGATATGATTCGAGTGGGATTAACGTGATGCCTAGCTGTAATGTCTAAACCCTTTCAAAACCCACATCTTCGCAATATCCTTGGACTGATTTTATCTAGGTTATGTAACTAGCACTGTGGCGTTCGATGAAACAAGCACACGAATCCTGCAAATCTGAAGGCGGTGGAGAAGTGTGAAATAGAGGATGGTTCACACGCACACAGATTGGCGAGCAAACAATTAAACTCGAAAATAAAAAAAATTCGATTGATTTACCCCGTAGAATCAATTGATTTCAGCATAAACAAACCATGCTCGGTTGAGTAAAAGTTTAGAGTCACTTTTACGTCAACCGAGACTCTACGAATCGGAAAGATGTCAATTTGACGTCAAGTCATTCCCAGTAGAAATTGACAAAGCGTTTTGAATGGTAAGTGAAACCTGGGAGAGGATAATGCGCAAATCCAGTTTCGGACACTAACGAAAAGGCAGTTGCTCAAAGTTAAGATCAGTCCGCCCCCGTGCTCCAATTACTAGACAAATTTAGTTTATTTTTTTTTAGAAAACAAAGCAGAAAAAGGCTTACTCGATCCACGATGCATCATATTGTAGGCCATCAGATGAACTTGGAGCAGTTCGGCTGCGATAAAAGGTGGAATTCTGACCACACCAGGCCTGCAACTTCAACTCCTGGCAAAGGAAGGCCGTCAGTATGCCTGCGGATCGGACGACAAGCCGTGGGACACGAGAGGGAGACTGCCTGTGTGTTTTGTGTCGACAGCACCACCGGTGGACAATGTGGAAGAGTGCGGTCACCATTGGTGCCACAATGCCGCACAAGGCTCCCGAGTCGCTACACAAAAGACACAGCAGAGTTCATTGATTTGGCTCAAGTTAAACGGGCCTGGCTTAAGCCCCTTCTTCGGTGAAAACTTGCTGACAATGCGCGCAACTTAATGCACATTTGCACTCGACACCATAAAGACTAAGAATTTACATAAACTCCTGCGTTTATGAAAAGTACTCCTTCAAAAACGCTATCAGATGAAAAGGCATCATTCTAGACAAATATCTACCCTCTTTGGAGCTTTTCAGCATTGTCGTAAAATCGTGAGCATAAAGAGCAGAATACATAATAGATTTGAGTTGCAGTGGGTGTGGCAGATAGAGGTCGTACTCTGGAGCCGTGGAAAGTTAATTCAACGTCAAAAATCAATTAGCCACACAAAGCACCGCATCACACCATGCACATGAAACTGAGCGACAACTTAGACTCTGTGTTGTTATAATTAGGGCCGCCGCGCACATAACTTTGGCGGGGCTCTGAGCTTCGGTCGGGGCCAAATCACTAGAAAACAATTAGAAAATTGGATAAGTGGGCGACAGTTGGTACTACTCCGAATGACTAGCGCGATAGTTCAAAGGTTTAAGAGAACCAGCAAGATGTTTGTCACTTTTACACCCTCCATTTGAATACTTCGCGGAACTGCTAACCTTGACCACGAAGACGAGCATCCAAAATTAGTTGTTAGGGCATTTGAGGAAGCAGCCTTTTATGTAAGGGTTGCAACACAGGTCGCGTTGAGTGCATTTGGAGAGATCGTAAACCGTCAACTTGATACCGGGGGTTGAGAAATTCCAAAACAAGACAGCATGAAAAATAACGGGGTGTTGTGTGGAAAACCGGCGAATCACAGCGGGGCGCAAACCTCTAACTCCTCAAAAACACTAGTGTCACGTGGAAAATCATGGCTCATAGCTCGTCCCGAAAAACAGTCGAGATAAGGCCTTTAATCGGAACACAACTCTACTGCAGGCAATGGTGGAGTCCCAGTAACACGACCCCCACAATGATACCTCACGCATTAAACGTTCATCATGTCGAAAGGGCATCTACATTGCAGCAACTAGACAAAATGCTGCAACCAAAAGGGAAAATTTCCAAAAAATTTCGTCGGCTATTTAAACTTCTCAGGTTTTCACAAACGAAAAAAGGCCAGTCAAATATGGTTTTTGGGATTAATTTACCCCAAAACATGAAAGAATTTGGCTATGTGAGTGAATTTTTCCCCCATTACGGCTCCCTAAGTACTTTGGATTACGACGGTTTCTCGAATGGCATGAGAACAAAGCCCAATTTGGTAAAAATAAAACGGGAAAATCGGAGGGCGGATTGAGGTAATGGGGTTGGTAATAGGGGGAGGGGAATGATGGAACGAAGAAGAGAAATACTCAAATGAAATGTGCTGTTTGCAAGAAAATACTTATGGCAGGAAACTACGTGCCAAGAAATGAGCGAAAGACAATCACATCCCGAGACAACTGATCCTGAACCACGAAAATGGATGAGGCTGTTAAACAAGGCACACAACAGAGTAATGACTTCAAACGCCATTCAACAAAACAACCACTCAGACCAGAAAAAATTGTCCGTTAGCTCTTTAGAAAGACTGAATCACACTACTGGGAGTAGGAAGCGTTGCCACATCTGCTATGTCGGTGAGGCACACTTGGAGTGTGACAGTTCGTGCCTAAAGTAAGCCGCGATTCCCATAGCAAACACTTTGCTTCAGCTGATAAGCGAAATAATGCGTGATTCCGATGTGCAGGGCGATTTCAGACTACTACTCATTATGAAGGCATTGCGACTGAAAAGGGGAGGTAGGCAGACGGTCCGATATGCACGCCATGATCGGATATAAACTGGTATGTGGCCTCGGCAATTTCCAAAATACAGGAACTAGGGATAGGACGTTGGTAGTGCATCGCGAGGAGGCACTGTACTCCATAATGAGGTGAACAAACAGTCTTGATGAGACCACACAGGTAGACTCAGCCACGTTGTGTCATCAAATGAACGGAAAATTTGAAAATAAAACGAGCCTAATATCAGTATGACAGAATGGGAGAAAGCAAATTTGCGGAAACAATGTTTGGTGAGCAACATGCCGTTTCAGTCGAATCAGCTTAGGAATCGAAGACGAAATCGATAGTTAATGACAATGAAAAAGCACATCTAAAAGACGTTTAGCAATCAAAGAACAAATAAAAACATTCCTTCTTGATTTCGGTTGTCTTGCCTATCCATTAGTCAACGACACGAACCCATTGCAATATGATCAAAAAACCGGCAAAAACAGTGGATTCCTTCCAAACTTTCAGGTTGACATTGTAGAAAGTCATTAAGAAAGAGTCTACTAAACAAAAACTGCTACAACTAAAAAAAGAGGTAATGGGCTTCAGCTACCACACCTACGAGGTGGCATTCCTGTGGCCTGGGTAGAGCAGTTACCTGGGTAGTTCTCGAATACGCAGCCCATACAAGAGGCAGTAGTCGAAAGCCCGAAGCCACCGCCAAGCCAAAGCTGGACTCGATGAGTTGAGAAATGTCAGCGGAGGCAACGAGTCTCCTTCCTCACCAACCTCATACGACAACAACAGACTAGCGAGCTCCTGCGAGAAGACCTTACAGTCGCCGTGCTGCGGACAGGCAAGAGCGACCAGGTTCCACCACAATTCGAGGATGTGCTGTTTGAGTAGGTGTGTGACGACGGAGGACTTACTTGATCGTTTGGACGCTGGCTGCGTGGTCTGGTCTGAGGCTAAGAAATGGACATACGTGCCCTTAAGTTACTACCATCAGGGGACCTACACAAATACTACGGAATCAATAAAGCACTAAGGCTTTCCTGAAATGGGACTTTTAAGCTCTGCGTGGGCTCAGCCAGGAGTGACTACAGCTGACTCATTAACAGTTACTCGCCACCATCCGAAGTAAATCACGTTGACGCGTTTCGGCAGATCGTTAAGAGTCCACTAGCGAGCAGTTAGAGATCAAGCCCGAAAGTAGTAGGGAGGCTGCTTCCTGTCGCCAATTACTGGTTTCGCTACAGACTTTGGATACCACACCTATGGAGGCGAGCGCTTACGTGGACTCTTAAAGCCACAGTTGATTACACTAGGTGTCGACACGGAATCAGAGACAAGCATTAACGATGTAGGACCAATGCTTGCATTCCCACCTTTAACAAGCCCTAGGATAGGTCTTAAATGACCAAATTTAGTGTCTTTGTATTCTAGATACGTCTTGATTAATATTATGAAAACAGAAAAAACGGCAGTAGCCGAACTAACTCGGAGGTTGACTCGTTTTGGCACCGCGGGAGTCGGCAGAGAGCGCAGCGGCCTCCTCGCGTCTCGCCACTTTGGCAGAGCGTTTTGCGGCTTTTTTGAGGGCCTTCCGCGACAACGAGGCCACACTACCGACTGTCGATGCGGCCCCGTTGATCTCCGCATCCTCCGGCAAGAGCACGTCGTCTTCGACGTCCAGAGGGACGAGCTCACGAATTCGACGACAAAATTTACCCAGCTGGGCACTGATGTCAGGAAGTCTAAGAGGGTTAAAAGAAGAGTTGACCACTTCGTTACAACGATTTCTTCTTCATTTTGCGCATTTTAAATGGGGATTAAGGTGAGCGTCTTTAAAAATCGACCAGAATGATTACTTATTTGCCATTTCAAATGGTTCAATCTATAATCAGTTACTAACATACCCAGTTCATAAGACAGGAAATAGGTATACTGGCCAGTACAATAACCTTTAATTTAATCGAAATAACAGCAGTTTCAAAGGTACTGAGACTAATTAAGTGACGACACAAGGCAGGTATGGATGCGTGTAAGACGGACTTTCTACCATGAAGCCTACGATTCAGATAGTGCATATTGGTCTCAACCCAAAACGCCGATAAGAACTCCATTCGTGTCTTTTGATAACCCGCCTAGAAGCAAATCAAATTGCAACAATGATTTCTGTTAACGAAGAATTTATGCAAAAAATGAGTCCTGAATATACTTTACAATAAATTGCCAATCGACTAGGAATCTATGTTGGGATGCTGCGAATCAATCAGCACCATGTTAAGACGATGTGCTGTGTTCGGTTATGCCCAACTACAAACAGACGTGTAGGTTTTTTCTAAGAGTATGATAACAAACCCGAAACAACTGTTCTGAACTCTGCCTTTTTTTTATTAAGAGCAGTTCAAAGATATTCCTTGTACGGTGTGACGATACAGCGGAATCCAACAACGTCTGTGTACTTAAATGGTGCCAAAAGGATTGAACGTAGGGAGGCGAGGAGGGTCTTAGTGATTAACGTGGGAGGTTACTATTAAACGAGTGCAAGTTAGGAAAAAGCAATTTCAGAACATCCTACCCCTTAGATGACGAAAAGAATCTCAAGTGCTTTGTTTCAGCGAAGACGCGTAGGCCCCGGAGTGTGTGGATGAGACCAAAAATGGTTTCAACTTTCGGCGAGTGCACCAATTCTGACAAGAGAGACGCAGAACTACAGTAAAGGGTTTTTATGGAATTCTGGCTATTGTTTAAAAATTAAGATTACCATCAAGCAGATAGAAACCCTCCTTGAGCACGCAGAGGGCCAGTTTTCGATCGTACCAAATGCTAGAATCAACCCCAGGAGGAGGTCTATTGGCAAGGTGTGCAGGTCCCCTCTTTTTTGTTATTCCGGGCTTTTCAAAAACCGACGAAGAGAGCTGATCAGCTGATTTTTGAAGGGCGAGATCGGGATCAAACAGCATCCATGTAGAGAGAAGGCTAGCATCGACTGCATCGGGTTTTGGGAAATCAGAAGAAAGCGAGTCCCCTGGAATGTAACAGGGAAACACGTCTACTAAATCAAAAACAGTAGCATGGTGGCTGCGGAATTAATTTTATTCTTGTAATTGACCTATCTCTCAATATGACAAACAAGATTCTTAAGAGTTTAGCTAAAAGACTGACAGGAATAAAAGTAAAGGGCTTCGTTCTATCATAACATAATTGTTTAGTGTATGTATCAACACGTCATACGGGATATTTACTTTCACCCAAGACTTGAGTATGTCGGTTATCTTCCAAACCACAAAAATGCAAGGTATCATAACTAACTTTTCAAACGACACAAAAAGAAAACATTGAACGAAGTGTGGATATAAAGTACGCCTAATTAGCATCTACATTTTGCATGAACCAATAATGCAAGTTAAAATGAGTTAAGATCGGTAATAGAATTTTTAAAAATCTTAGAAATACTTGCCTTGAGACCTGTCGGCAATTCCAAAGGATTCCAGGAATGGATGAAGCTTTAAATAACGAGACCGTGAAGAGCAAACCGGAGTTACGTAAATGGTATACTGAACATCTCTCAAAAATTTCGTTGTAGCCGCTAAAAGTGCAGTGCGAGACTTCACAACATCAACTGCGGTGCTCTGTAAAGGAGACAAAAAGGAGCGAAAATTGGACTCATTGGGAATTTAGTCAACAATAGGTACCGCAAATGAATCAATATAGAGTAAACAAGCGTACAATGACATTTTCGCCTCATTGTCTTTTTTTAGTTTTGTGCAAACTGTTTAGCCAGCAATACGATTTAGCATAAGGGAAGTTGGAGCTTAACTGGATGTGAAAGCACTCACATACTGAAACGACTAAAGCCTCCACATAGTTAATGCTGAAATGGACGTACCTCATTTAAAGAATCAAAGTGCCGAATTAGAAGACGGGGATATATGGTACCTCGATAGACCTGATGCCGAGGTTCCACAAAAGCTTTTAATTCTGCTTCTAATGCGAATGCATGGGAAGGATCACCAACAGACGCCAAACAAGTCAGCACCGTATGGCGAGCAGCGCAATGGTCTGAAAGAACCTTCACACCGGCCTGACGCCACCAAAACTCCGAACGACGAAGTAGCGACGACGTGATCCCATCCACACAGGTCAGAGCTGAGTGAATTCTTGGATGGACAGAGAATATCTAACAAAGAAAATGCATTGACAACACTCGGCACTTTGGTAGTAGTAGGCAATCCTAAACAAAACTCACTGTTGCAATCATTTTACACAATTTGGCTATTTCAAAGGGCAACTTCACGCTTGTTGAGTTTTGAGAGAGTCGGTTTAAACAGTGAAGCAGGTCACCAAACTGGAAGTTGAAATCATTTCGAGCAAAGTCCGACCCGAACAAGTTATTAAGCAATTCTAAAGAATTTGCGCTGCAGGATATAAATGGTCTACAATTCCATTCAGTCGTAATTTGAGCAACAAATGGCGATAGTATCGAGTGTAGGCATGAAATCGCAGATAGCTGGAGAGATTCATTTGTTGACTGTAATTTTTTTACGAAACCATCAAGGACAGACACAGGTTCCCTGGGCACATCATGCTGTTCCAAGAGATATTACAAGGAAACATCAAACAATATACCAGCAAAACAGTATTTTCTTTAGGAAGAATTATCTTTCTTTTAGAAAGATCAATTACTGTTTCGTTCTGTCTTTTTAATTTTCTGCCAAGTTTCAATTTGACTTTATTAAAGTCCTTCACTTTCTTTTTTGGCATGACTAAAGACGGATTCTTGAAGGACGCAAACCCTATTCGTTAAAAAATAAGCATGCATTACATTGAAAGAGTGGGAGATACTTTGATATTTCGAACAAATTCAATCGCAAAAAGGAATATTGTTGCTAAACTTAATGAAATGTTTTAATTTTTTCTTGAAAATGGAAGAAATTAGGAATAGTAACGTATGCACTTTATCCTGTTACTGAGTTTAAAAGTGCCCGAATATTTCATGTTCACGCCGCACTTGGTGTGCAACGGCATATTTCCAATAAGCTATCATGATAATAGCATATAATAAAAGAAACATCTTCCTAGTAATAGCAAAAACTTCAAATGCAAATGAATTTTTTGGGGTCATATAATATTATATGTTGAATAGTGTCTTTGATCAATTAGGAAAAATATTATAATACTAATTTGAGCCAAGCAAGGCTAACTAAAATATTAATTTCGTTCTCTCTGTATTATACATATTCAAAGCTAAATAGATTTCTTCAAATATAATGATTTGTTTATCGATACAAATATGCGTGATACTCCATCCTGTTTTTCGATATAATAGATTTCTATAATGAAATTATTTGGCTATTACCTATTTTAAAAGTTAACATAATATGCTATGTATTTTGTCAATTTAGGCTTTTGTTTCGAGTTTTTGAAGGTGTAGGTTGGTCTTAGTCAAAATTTGACAGTTAAGTAAACATTGCTCGATGAAAATAAATCCGTGTTTCGCTACTTTTAGATGCCGTTGCCACTGCGTAAACATAATGAAGTAGTTGACATTAAGTTACTTAAATGTCACTTACAGTCCGTGTATGTTTTGCCCTTACGCAGTTTAATTTTTGCTCATTAAATTCTATTCAAACGGATAATAAAGCATAAAAAAAATTTTCTAAACAAATAATTATTTTGACTATGCAAATAAGAAATTTTTGGGTGTCAGGATTTCGTCATTGTTCAACCAATTTTCCTAACCACTCCACATTACGAAGTGAGTTTTTTTTAACACATTACTGGCAGCCCCATCTGTCTTAATTCACCCTGATCTACATTATCAGATTCATTCTTTGCTTCTATTAGTGGTCATATTCTGACTGATCATTTGTAATTTTGCTCAGACATTTAAAATCTTGCAGAGAAAGTCTTACCTTGTCTAAAATCAGTAGAGGAAATTGAGGTCTATTGTTAGATAATTGATTCGGAATCCCGGTCCTTTGAGTGTGTGGTTCTTCGTTACATTCAAAGGGTAACAAGATTAAATTTTGCAAAAGATTGCTTGTTCTTGATAAGTTTATTAATAAATTATAATAGATGAATTTTTATTTATATTTCAAGTAGGACTTGGTGGTCGTAACATTTCCCAGAAACTGAGTATAATCCATGAGAGAGTAGGATATATTTTGCTACGCAAATATATGTGAACTTTGATGCAATTGTAACGAATTGTAGCTTTGAAATTGTTACTTTTTAAAAAGATCATTTAGCAGATTTGTTCAAAAATCATTGTTCTACCACTAAGGGAAGCAATTATCAGCACTCAGGTAGCAAGTTCTACATATAATATATAGTGTGAAGATTAAGAGTCGGTGGTTTTAGGAGCCAACGATTTTGGCGTTGTTTGAAAGCTGACAATGTTAATCTTGACTGCCGATTGTCTTGAATTTCCTATCTTTATGGCTGTAGATGGTTGCATCATATCTCGTTACGACTCTTCGGATGTGATTGCAGCTCTTACCCAGTATCCAGGACTAAATACATAGCAAAGTAAAGCTCCAATTCAAGGATTGATATACAATAATATGTTCAAACATCAGTCAACAGTCAAGGGTTGTAGAAAAAGGGGCAGCGTGCAAAAAGAAAGAGTTGATTTTTCATCTGCGTTGGTTATCAAGTGTTCAAATAAACAGCTTCAAACCATTTTAAATGCATCCATCAACACATATTCCCTTAATATTGGAAACACTTTGGATTTGTCCAATCGGCTTCCAAACAAGTCCGCTTGTTCGAAAGGACATCATATACAGCAACAGCTGGAGACGAATATATGAATGGTACTTAAAGAAAGTAAGCTTCCGAAAAATGACAAGAAGTAGACATTACCACTGCTGTGAGTGAATCTCAAAGATTCCAAACTATCTTACAATCATTAAAAGATATGTCAAAATTGAGCACTATACGAGCAAGCTCTACAAAACTCCGTTATGAAAAGCAATAACACGAGCCATGGTGGCAAACACTTACAGGTTATGGCAGTTACGTTTGCTGTCTTAGGATAACACATATGAGTTTTTAAATGTTTCGAACCCTAAGCTGGAGCTTTCAATACAGTGCATTGTAGCTTCTTGGGCTGTTACTGTTTGTACCTTCATTTGTTCATAGTGCTTCTGATGATTGCATCTAAATATTGCCTATAAACAGAATTTTAAAGACTGCATTTCATCCATGCCTGATTCCCTTTATTCATTTAAAAGTTTTTCTAAAAATAAAACGAAATATGTTATCCGGAAAATGGACAAAATACAAAAAAGTGTAAGGTTCAATATCATTGACGCAACTGAGTCGTTCCATCCTACGCGATATATTTCCATCAAGTTGAAAATGAAATCTTGATTGTGAAGTTATTAGATATCATGTTGACAGTAAATCTATTCCGAAATGAAACGGTAATCCATTGTGATCTTGTGCATTTTTTATTTCAGCTAATTGTCTTTATAAAAAGTTTAGTTTTTATTTAAATTTAAAAAATTGCCTAAATTAATGCTCTATTAAATAACTGGGGTAAAAAATACTAAAGGTTTGCTCAGTTTATAAGTGTTTGCCAAAACATAATTAGTTACCTAGTTGGATGACATAAAGATATTCTGTGTGGGTAGACTGATTGGCAAGTTCAATCAATTAAGGACACTGGAGATTGTTAAGCCATTATAGTGTAGTGGGCCCCGGTGCGGTTTTAGAAACCACACCAGAGCCGACACTCTAAGTTGACACGGCCCGACCGAAAGTAGAGCAGAACTGCAAATAACCAGAAGCTCAACCAATTTATTAAAGCGGTAGCGGAGCGTGTTGTGCACAGGATAGCAGACGCGTTTATATAGCTTTGCTAAGCATTGATCTCTGAACGCAGCTAGTTGCGTGGAGTTCATTCACGAATAATCGAATGAACTGTGTTCGTTTGTGCTTGCACACTGCGTTCGCTCACGATTGATAACTGCTCGCCACAATAGTAACAATAAATGAGAAAGTTAAATTTGGACATTGTCTGCAAGGATGTATATTAATTGTTAGTTTTTTATACCTGATTCAAAATCCTAAAGACCTTTGTGCCAAAACATTTGGCATCCTTTATTCCTAATGAACGTATTCTCTTATCAATGTCCATCAATGGGCAACTTAAACCATAAATATGAGAATAATTAGTGGGGGTATCTAATTCGTAGAGCAACGCAATCGCATTACATTAGAGAAATACAATAAAGGCAAAAAAGTTTTAAAAAGTTCATAATTTTTATCTCACAGCAACTTAACTTGATTTTCAAAATTATTGTTGAGCAAATATGTTGGGGATTCCAAGATATACTATCAATGAATTTGACAAAATATTGCCTCCAAAGCATTGAATTAAATTATGCAATAACATTGAGCTATCCGCTAATTTAAAGGACTGTACATTTTCTTTAAGAAATATAGGATTGAATACTTTTTAATGGTTAGAGTACTTTTTGAAAGTAAAGAGCCAACCTTCGTGGATGCTTTTATTTTATACTTGCGTAAAACATGAACTAATTTTTCCACATATAATGAAGTTTAACATTTCATGCTGTTTTGAATAAACTGTTGTCCTCTTTCCCATGACTTTGACATAATCATGACCTTTACTTCTATTGGTCTAGTATTTGATTGGGTGTTGCGATGTACAGATTCTGAAGTCATTTGCAATTCATTACAACGTGAGCTCTTTCATGATTTTCCAGTTTTGTTAATCCATACTGACTCTTCAGCTAATCTGATCTTAAGCAGAACTGTTCAGCGCGTTTCATTTTTTTTCCTGAACCACATTTCCCTGAAGGCTGTTTAATTATTACCAAGCTGAACACTGAAAATTAGGTAAAAATGCATTCAGCAACCGTATGCGGTCAAATTTAGATTAGAGCTTATAAGTCATTTTTGTCTATGACTTTTGCAAGATTATCAAATTTTAGTGTAACTGTATCGATGATCAAACTTATTTACCTTCTGCGTTCGTCAGCTTTTTGTGATAATATTAATGCAAATGGACATATTATTTCATTACATCTCTTTTTTTGATAACGCTGACCAGATGTCAGTTTAATTCTCAAGGTTTGGATACGTTCAATTTATTTGGTTGGGTGTTTTATTGGTGACTTCTGGTCCTATGTGAGCGTTCCGTCGCTCCCTCCCTTTTGTTTAATCCACATCAATTTCGCAAAATCATATTTGCATTTGGTAATAAGAAGTTGGGACTCAGGTTTAAAGTGGAGCGTTAATTCGAATTTTATAATGAATGTTTCACTTAATTTTGAAACATGCAGGTTAACCCAAATTCTCAATAATGTAGATTTTTTATTAATAAATGAAAATTTTACTGAGTTCTTCTCACGCAGTCATCCAACATGCATTTTGCGTCGCACCAGTTTATGCTCCTATTTTGTATTTGCTTTTTAGCTATCATTATTTGGTTAATGTTAGAAAATCTTTTTATCAAATCCGCCTCTAAAAACCACATCAGTAAATAGCACTCCACGTATGACCATTGCCAACGATATTTGGTTTACATAACTGTACTGTTTTTTTATTTCTAGGCTGGCTGAGCATCATTTTATTCGCAAATTCAGACAGCATAAAGACTCGGAGTCTCAAGGACGACCATCTTCATCAAATATTCCAGTGTATTCGAAAAGTCACATCTCAGGTTTGTTCTTCCTTTATTTCAAACCCTTCTTTTGCCTACTCTTCACTTTCCCAAGTTCTGCACTTTT